CCGCCCGCAGGAGCCGCCGCCGCCTATTGTTCATGCGGCTCCGCAGAGCTGGGGGGATCCCCTCCCCCGACGGCGGCCGCAGGTAGGGCCCGGGCTGGCGGGGAGAGCCGGCTGCCTGCGGCTGGCGCGGCGCGGAGACCAGTGCACGGGGCGCGGGTGCCCGGCCCACCCCCGCGCCAACCCGCCTACCCATTGGCCGCCGCCGACCAGTCCTCAGGTTCCCCACGCCGTGGTTGGGGCTGCCCCGCCGGCTATCTGGCCCGCCCCTCTCCACCTCCTGCGCCTACGTCGTCCGCCCTGCCGGTTTTCGCCCTCTTTTGCGGGCTCTCTCATTCTCTAACCCCAGGTCACGCAGTTCTCTTTCCCATTGGCTCTCCGCAGCTTCAACCATTGGCCCGAGGTACCTGTCCATTTCCTGGGAGAGTTTAGCACCTCCCGTCACGAGGAGGCTGTGGCCTCATTGGGTGCAGGAAGAGGGATAGGTGGATCCTAAAAGGTAAACCGGAGATTTCATTCAGACCTAAAAGGCTGGAGGAAGCCATTCCCTTTGTTTTCCATGGGTGAGTAGGGTCTCCGTTGGGCAGCACCGGTGTTTTTCATTCTAAAGTGAGCCTTTGAAAGTGAGCGAAAGAGAAGGGAGCAAGGTTGCATCCCCGGAGAACTCTCTTTTCCAGCTCCCTCTAAGAGTTGGATTCTCCCCTCTATTGGATCTGCCTTTGCCCCAGTCCAGGTGGATCAGCTTCCACTCCTACCCAGCTGAATTGCACCCCCATATCCCACCTTCGTAACCTTTCATTTACTATTTAAGGTCTTTAGGCCCATTGGAAAGTTCTTTAGAAAAACTCTTTCAAACAACAGTTCTCGCCTTCATGAAGACTGCAACACAGCCCGCCCTTTCCTGGGTTCCTGTAAGAAGAGATTCCAGCACTGGTTTTTAAATTCAGAAAGACGAGAGACCATCTCACAGGGGTTTCAAACAGGTTGGGAACGCTGTCGGTGAAGTGGGTTTATTGTCTCTGAAGAAACAGATTTTCCACAATTGTGATTTTATTTCTCCTGGATGAATTGCATCTCAGGTCATGGTGACCTCTATAGACGTCAGATTAAGAACCAAAGTAGAATATACATACAAGGCGATGCTGCAGTTCATGACAAAGGGCTGATCTTTTTATATACCTTGTTATTCTCCGTTTCTCAAACATTAAGAAAAAATGAGCTAGGTGGCCCCTAAGATTTCTTATGTGCTTTGATCCTGTCATAGGAATGTAGCTTTCCAATGAGAAAGTTTCCTGACGTTCGTTTCCAAACAAGCCAATGCTGAAAGATTTAGCCCGATCTCTACCAAACTGCCTTCCTTACCTTTTCCCCTTTAGTAATAGGAATCGATATGATTTATTTAGCAAGAGTTTGTGCTTCACTGAGTATTTTTTGTTTGTTTGTTTTAGTTCGGGGTTAATTGTTGGACAAACTGGAGACGGTTGGGCAATTTGGAAAGAAAAGGGCAGGCATCTTTGGCTGTCCTGCCAGCCGCTGCAAGATCTTGGGGAAGTACTTACGACCATAGTGCAGCTTGCTCATCCGAAGTGAGGGGGGAGATTGGAAGATCTCGTATGTTAATGTAGGCTGGTCATACACTGTATATACCCACACATTTGAGAGCTTGTGGAAGAGCGATGAGAGTGCTGCTCTGAAGAGGATCCAGTGTAGATCTCGAGAAAGGACTTCTGAACATTCTAAAACAATGTTCAAATTCTTCTTGTACATGGGATCTGTGAACTGGAAAAGATATGAATGAGTCTTTGAGTCAATTCTCTAGATTTTGTTTAAGGCAAAACTATTCCACCCCCAAGCAGAAGAGAACAGAATGGTGAGAATAGAGGCACTTTGTGCTTTTAAAAAGACCACAAGAAAAGATTTTCTTAATAAAAACTTTGGGCAATTTTTATTGTCATTTTGCTTATGGGTAATTTTGGATGTGTTAGTGCATAGTTTTGTGGCTCTCCACTCCTCCCCCACCCAGAGGAGAAGGGGAAAAAATCCTTGATCTCTTTCAGTAGGAAAAAATCTAACTCCCCATATAATTTAAATCTTTAATACCATAGCATGTGTTTAGGATCTCATGAAGAGTAATTCACCAAACATTTCAAGAAGTCATTCAGTAAATATTTATTGAATGAATAAGTACTGGGAATTCAAATGAGGGAAGATTCTTTAGGCTAATGTTGTCTAGCAGGATTTCATGGAAGAAGCAGAACCAAAGCTGGTCCTGGAGGGGTACAGAGTGGAGCAGGGAAGAATCTGTGTCCAGGAGAGGACTGAGGGTATGGCCACAGTCATAGAGGTGGGAAAGCTTGAGTAAACCCATCTGGATGGAGTAAAATAATGAGAAGAACAGAAAAGATAGTTTGAAACTGGATTGTAAAGGGCCTTGTAATCACTTGATTCATACTAATAATTATTTACTTGATTATTTGTAATTATTTAAAATGTCCAATTTGTTTATCATAAGGGCAGGGACCCGTCTGTCTGGTCCTCTACAGTTCCCTCAGCACTTTGAGAGTGCCTAGCATGTAAGTGGCTTTCGGTACATATTTGTGACTAAATGGCTAACTTGAATACCTGGTTAAGAAGTCCGGGTTTTGTCTAACAGATAAAAGGTTATTGCTGACAGCTTTTGAGCAGGGCTCTAGGGTGATCAAATGTTACTGTCATTGAGGACTAGAATAGATGAGAAATGCATAAAGAAGTGCGTAAGTTGGACATTGAAGGATGTATACGACTTGATCAATAGAGAATAGAAAGTGTGGAAATGGAAATTAATGTAATGGTTAGCAATTATAAAAATATCAGCCTGAGGAGAGAGTGCAAAAAGGGAATGATGGGAAATAAAATTAACTAAATAAAAGCAAGGCAGATTGCAAAAGATTTTGAAAGCCAGGTAGAATTACCAAGATTTCACTACTATTAAGTTCTTGAGTGGGGGGTCAATAAATGTCACTCCAAAAAGGACCATTGTCTCTACCCCAGTGAAAAGTATAGCATAAATCAGGGAGAATTTTATAGCAGTCAGTGATGTAGCTTGGCACTAGACTTATGTCTGAAGATCATGATTTATCTTGGCTCTATCCATTAAAAACCATGTGACTTTGGTCAAGTTACCTGTTTGAACCTCAGTTTTCTCATCTTTAAATAGGTGTAAAATAGGAAGAAGGGAGTCTACAGCCATGCTATCCTGAACAAGCCTGATCTCGTCTAAGTCTTGGAAGCTAAGCAAGATCGGGCCTGGTTAGGACTTGGATGGGAGACCACCTAGGAATACCAGGCGCTATAGGTAATAAAAACTAAAAAAAATAAGGGATCGTAAACTGACAAGGTCCTTGCAGTCTTTGAAGTCAACTAAGGGTTGCTTTGCCTAAAAAATAAAAATAGAGGTGAAAGGAAAGAAAAGAGAAGGGAGGGAGGAGGAAAGAGAGAGGAAGGATGATGAGATTAGAAGTGGTTTTTTTTTTCTGTCATACTAAGTACTTTCTACCATTAACATGTACTGATTCTCTTAATAAGAAAGTATTGTTAATAATGATCATGAAAATTTTTAATACTATGGAAATGTGCATAAATGAAAAAGTAAAAAACTGCTTCATACAATATGACCACAAATATGTATGTGTGTGTGTGTGTGTGTTTGTATAGTCTCTAAATCTTTTTATTTTATTCGTTATTTATGAGCTGAGTAGTAGAGTATGAGTAATTTGGATTTCCTTTATTTTACTTTTTGAAATTTTCTATATAGCTAAAATAACCATGTAATAGTTTTGTAATTGAATAACCCAAAAATCATTTTTAGTTTTTGTAATGATGAAATAAGTGTAAAGCCTTATTGTTAGTTTGTGAGGTAGTAAAGGAGGGAAAAACTAGAACTGGAGGGTGATAATAATAATAATAATATTAATAACAACAATAACAATAGCTACTATGAATTGAGGGCTCACTGGATGCCATGCACTCTTCACAGTCTTTTTTATTTATTAGAGTCTTTAATGTCTCTTCCAAGCAAATAAAACTTTCCGGAATATAAATAGTCCATTCTTTCGCTATCCCTCCTGCCTTTTGGAGGGAGCAGTCTTATGGTTATGTGGCCACATACTTTCAGAGGTAATTTAGTGTAGCTGCAGCCTCACTCACCTAACACCGGCATAGACTTCTATTTTTCAGCTTTTCGAGGTTTGGTTTTTAAGTGATGTTGGTGACAAAGATTTAGCCGAAACTTCAGCTCAGTTTTGCTTTTGAGATTTATGCCTTCTTATCCTGGGGGCGGAAAAATCAATTTAAAGATTTTCGTTATTTGTTATTGAAACAGACCAGTAATATGGGATGAATGAGCAACTCACAGTGAAAAATATTTTACAGTAGCAGGAGCTGTTTACTTATGGACTTGGCAGAGCAAAGTCCTCTTAGACAATGGTAGACAACTGCGCCACTATGTGGTATTGAGGGGTATGGTGGCCTTTTTTTTTCTTTTTCTTTAATGACTTATTTTCTAGTTTTACACTTTAAGTGCTGAAAGTAAACTTAGTCGTCGCTGGGTGGAGCTCTTTCAGTTTGTTGTGAAAACCTAGACCCAGACAAGTGATATCACTAGAATTTAAACACAAATCTTAACCAGAATCTTCTTTATACCTTTTCTGGCCGCACAACTGCTTCTAATTCTAAAAGTTAATTCAGGGATATCTGCATCTCAGCTTCAGGGAACCTTAGAACTATCTAGAGCAAATACTCAATTTAACATGCAAAGAAATCAAAGCCTAGGGAAGGTAGATGATTTGCTAAAGGTCCACAGCTAATTCTGAGTCTCTTGGTTTTTATTCCATTCATTCATTAAATCCCTAAATATTTATACATGTGTCTACTATGTTTCCAG